TGATGGTTTATAATGAGCGAAGTTTTATCTTTCTTTGGGTCAAATTAAACGGACTCCAGATTTAAAGAAAATGTCGCAAAAACTGTCGTTTAGAAAAACGGAAATCCCAGTCTTTAGTTGATCGGATGTTTCGGTCTTCTTGTGTTAAAAAAAGTGTTTACATAGAATTCATAAAATTACCAGTTTTCAAACATGAAAGAACAAGAAAAATTAGTGTGCATTTCGTTTGTATGAAGCATTTATTTTAGACTTAATATGATTGATAAATGTTTATCACTAGGTGGCGCTGAAATAGTACCAGTTCGGAATCCTGTGCGAGTGATTGTTTCAGCGTGGTGGATCTTTGCTATTATCATCACGGCGGGATTTAGCGGGACTCTGACGTCATTCATGAACGTCCCTGGTTTAAACCCAGCAGTAGACACAGTGTCTCAGTTAATCAGTCTGGTGAAGGCTGGAACGTATAAAGGGGGAACCAGAGATGGAACATCAGTCTTAACTAACTTTGAGGTAAGTTTCTAAGCTATTTGGTAAAGGTAGATAAAATAATTTTGGGAAATTTTGAGGGAAGTACAATTTAGGAATAACATTTCTTACTTAAAGGGAAAGTGCAACTTTTTTTATAAACAAAGATTAAAATCATGAAACAATCTTTTAATGAAGTTGCATTTATGTAAAATTACTAGATACAAATTTTAATGTGTAATAACTGCAGAAGGCTCTGGTGGTGCAGCATACCAAAATATGAAAAAACAAACAAAAACAATTGGAGAAAGAAGTGACAACTAGTTCTAAGTAAAGCTGCTATTAAAAGTCAGGTCACAACATGAACAGTCTGAGCAGTATATTCTCATGATTGGGTCACCACGTGAACAGTCTGAGCAGTATATTCTCATGATTGGGTCACAACGTGAACAGTCTGAGCAGCATATTCTCATGAATGGGTCACAACGTGAACAGTCTGAGCAGCATATTCTCATGATTGGGTCACAACGTGAACAGTCTGAGCAGCATATTCTCATGATTGGGTCACAACGTGAACAGTCTGAGCAGCATATTCTCATGATTGGGTCACCACGTGAACAGTCTGAGCAGCATATTCTCATGATTGGGTCACCACGTGAACAGTCTGAGCAGCATATTCTCATGATTGGGTCACCACGTGAACAGTCTGAGCAGCATATTCTCATGATTGGGTCACCACGTGAACAGTCTGAGCAGCATATTCTCATGATTGGGTCACACGTGAACAGTCTGAAATATATATTCCAAAATTATTGAAGAATACAAAATAGTACTAATTACTTTTTAAACACTTTAAATTTTCAAACTAATTTATTTAATCTTGGGACATTTGGGTGTGAGAAGAAGTTGTGTTGTTCGTTCCCGTTTTTTAAGTTAGCTTTTACTTAGTGCTAGAAAAAATTATTTTGGTTTCCAAATATGCATCGATTTTCTGAGTGGAATATGCTTCGGTGTGTTTTAAACAGTGTTTTCTTTCATGCGGAAGTAACCTTTCAGGAATGACCACGTTGGGCTGAGTATCGAAATTACTTTTATTCAACAGAAAGCGAAAGAAGGAGCACTGCAGGTCCTTGGACAAGTGATGGTCAAAGACAGGAAGGGTACCGTGGTCAAGGATTTTCCTGAGGGGGTTCACAAGGTACTGAATGAGCCGTACGCCCTCATTTTCCCACAAGCGCCAATGGAGGCAGCGATAGCAAGCATCGGGAATGAAAAGTTTCATTTCTCCACCGACAGGTTTTTCTCAGCTTACTACGCAGTCGTGATTCCTAAAGGTTCACCTCTGAGAAAAGCTTTCGACGAAGTGTAAGTACCCAACCAGAAACATTCTTGTTACGCATTTCCGGGCAGCTTTTTAACCTCACGTTTAATCTTTCCTGATATTGGAACGTTGGAGAAGTGAACCAGATACATTCCAAGAGCAAAGCTGTGTCACGTGGTTCCTTAGTTTAAATGGTCCATCTGTGTGTAGGGTCGGTCTGAGAGAGTGCAGAGTGGCGGGATGATCTGGGTGAGTCGACCCTTGATTAAAACTCTTGGACCGACCCTGTGATCGCACCGACCATTGTTATGGTTACCACGTCTCTATTTAGGTATCTCTGTTTACCATTCTATCTGTCTGTCTGTTCTATCCATCTGTCAGTCTATGTGTTTCTCTGTCTACCTGTACCTATATGTCTCTCTATCTATCTGTATGTTCTATCCATCTGTCAGTCTGTGTGTTACTCTGTCTACCTGTACCTATATGTCTGTTCTATCCATCTGTCAGTCTGTGTGTTTCTCTGTCTACCTGTACCTATATGTCTCTCTATCTATCTGTCTCTCTATCTATCTGTATGTTCTATCCATTTGTTACTCTGTCTACCTGTTTCTATCAGTCTGTTCTATCCATCTGTCAGTCTGTGTGTTTCTCTGTCTACCTGTACCTATATGTCTCTCTATCTATCTGTATGTTCTATCCATTTGTTACTCTGTCTACCTTTCTATCAGTCTGTTCTATCCATCTGTCAGTCTGTGTGTTTCACTGTCTACCTGTACCTATATGTCTCTCTATCTATCTGTATGTTCTATCCATTTGTTACTCTGTCTACCTGTACCTATATGTCTCTCTATCTAGCTATCTGTTTGGTCACGCGTAGTGATTAAAGTTTACTGAGTTTTGAAGTAAACGGATATTAATTAGTGTTTTTAATATCGCTGTTTTAGGCTAACCAGAATTCGGGAAGCTGGTCTTATTCCAAAATGGAACAAAGATATTCTCGAACGAAGACGTCGAAATCCGTCAGCTTTCAACGAAACATCGGAGCTATCCGCACCTGGTAGTGTGTCGTCACAGGAGCCCCTCACCCTGGACGACATGATCGGAGCCTTCTGTGTGCTAGCTCTAGGCTACACCCTGGGTTTTCTTCTTCTACTTTTAGAATGTGTTACGAAGAAGGCGCGAGGTAACTCTGACCAATAGAAAAATTGTTCTAATCAGGCTTATGGGAACACCAGCCAACAGAAAAAAAATTGTTCTAATCAGGCTTGTGGGAACACCAACCAACAGAAAAAATAATTGTTCTAATCAGGCTTGTGGGAACACCAACCAACAGAAAAAATAATTGTTCTAATCAGGCTTGTGGGAACACCAGCCAACAGAAAAAATAATTGTTCTAATCAGGCTTGTGGGAACACCAGCCAACAGAAAAAATAATTGTTCTAATCAGGCTTGTGGGAACACCAACCAACAGAAAAAAAATTCTAATTAGGCTCGAGACAACTCCAATCAGTATCAAAAGTGTTCTAAATTAGGCTGGAGACAACTCCAACCAATTGGAAAAAGTGTTCACAAATCCGAGTATTAGAGAGGTTATTTTTATCACCAATATGATCCGTAACTGTCTGTTGCAGTGGCGTCCATATAGGGTGTGCAGGCTGTGTAGTGCACACAGGCCTACGAGCTCTAGGAAACTCGCCAAGACCTAATCCAAACAGGTACCAATATTTAACCGTATATAATCATACTACATTTGTGCCGGGAAGGGGTATAAGGGGGCCCATAATTTATCCCGCACAAGGACCTACAACTAAGTATGGCTGACGCTGGTCTACTGTACAGTTTAGTTAGAATTATATAGTTTTTACTTTCGTCAAACCACTTGCCATGCTAATGTGTTAACTTTTTTTTAATTATATACAGCTGTATGTCAAACATTACCTTTCTAGAACAATATACATTCTCACTGTTGATAGTGTAGAATTCAAATGCACATTTTTTACATTAATGTCGATTATTCTTAGAAATTTCTATTCTAAACTTGTTTTTATTATTCCTCACGTGGTTTAGGCTTAATAAAATATCGTTAATTGGAGTTCGAATTCTATATAAAACAGGCTGGTACCAGTTCTCCCTATAGTCAAGTTCACTTCTCTCCAGTCTAATGCGCTGTAATTGTTGTAACGTTGTAGTCACGCAGTGTCGGAGTTTTGTATGTGGGTGGGCTGGGATTCTTTTACAGCAGGTGTCTGTAACTTGTTGGCGATACATTCGAACAATAAACGGAGAGCACACAATCCACTTGTTTTAAAATATTATATTCAAAACAAGTCAAACGTATGTACAAAAATTCTTTACACTATAGGAAATCACAATAGTATATAACATTAAATAATTCTCTCTTTTTTTTTGTCAAAAGTACACTCAGACTGATTCAATTACTTTAGAATCCAATTGACAAGACGAACTACTTTTTCTCTACTTTGTTTCTTACTGTACAATCTGCGATCGATTCACTTGCGTTACTCTGTGGGTTGCCACAGTTGTATCCCAAACTTTAAATAATTGTCTCCTTTTCGTCAAAGTCCACACAGACAGGTTCAATTACTTTAGAACACCCTTTGACAAGATAACTTATTCTCCTTATCTATATTAAACTGTGAAATTATTGTCGTTAAGCCTAATCACTCACACACTGGTTAACTTCGCGTTTTCTAACTTTTTTTTTCTGACTGAACTTCAGTTATTAGAATTTACTTACTTCTTTTAACTTAATGTTTTCTGACTTATTTATAAATTGCCTTATTCTTATTACTGTGTTGCAATCAAAAATATACATGTGTTGATAAATTACCGGGTAGCGAGTCTCAAAATTTACTGTTATTAAAAACGGTTTACTACACCTTCACGCTATAAAGTATACAGTGGTTTGTTGTTGCTAAAACCTATACTTTTTTTTTTACGGTCGTTACTTTTAAATCCTGTTTGTTTGTTTGAGAGCAAAGCCTCATTGTAGTATCTGCTGTGTCCAACGCGAGGATTCGAGCCCCGGATTTTAGCGTTGTAAATCCATAGATTTACCACTATTCCATCGGGGTATTTACCTTATAAATAAAAGTATAAATTTAAATATTGTAATTATTAGAAGTTGAAGCCAAAATTTTTAAATATATTTATTAGTTTAAATGAAAATATTTTGACGATATTATTATTTTACTAATATTCATTAACCAGAAATTTTAATTTATTCAAGTACTTAGTTGTTTGATTGTTGTTGTCTTAGTGCAAAAATGCATAATGGGCTGTCTGTGCGTGATAATGATGGCAAAGAATTAATAATTAACCCACAGTTTCTGTGCATAACTGTTGATTCGTGAATTTTTATTTTTTATGTGTACAGTTTGTATACTTAGTCCTGCACATTAGTGAAAATAAAACTTTCTCAGTATGTATATATGTTTTGACTTGTTTTCACAAAATATAGTACTGTTTAGAAACGTATGGAACATGTGTGAACATTATGACAGCGATACGTGTTAATGGGATTGGTAAATATAATTTTATTAAAAATTGCGGAACTGTTTGATGTATTGTGACTTAATTTGGTTCTGTGTAGTTCTGTAGGATTCCTTTCAGATTACAACTAGGACTTAATAAATACTACAGTTGCTAGCTACTGAATAATAGCTGAATTTGGTTCTGTGTAGTTCTGTAGGATTCCTTTCAGATTACAACTAGGACTGAATAAATACTACAGTTGCCAGCTACTGAATAAGAGCACGAGAAATTTGTCCATTGTGACGAATCTCGTGCAGCTTGACTTCTGTTGATTAGTACACCTAATTCTCCTGTTTGAAGAGACTAACTATATTTAACGTGAGTTTTGCGTGTTTTAAAATGCGGCTTATAGACTAGAAAAGCATGTAGATTTTTTTACTTCTAAACATAAGTTCAGCATCAACGGTGTTCGAAGGAATTCGAACCATATTCTTGGATGATTTATGTTTTGTTTGTTTGTTTGTTTCGGAATTTTCGCGCAAAACTACACAAGTGCTACCTGTTCATACTAGTCAACAATATCCACCGTCAATTCTTGGGCTACTTTCATTTGACCATCGCTCTGAGAGGGCAACCATGACCTCAAAATACGAAGTGCTCTTTAGTTGTAATGGGTTGTGAACCAATAATCCTCGTATTCGCAGTCTTTGCACGCTAACTACTGAGCCACGCACGTCTCATTGATAAAGTGGACAATTAATTCATAGTTCGAGTGATTTTTCAACACAAGTATATTGACAAAAAAATTATTTGCAAATCACGTAAAAATCCTTCATATCAGCAAATGCTGTAAAGTTGTATAACTCGTAAATCAATTAATTTAATTTCTACTAATTTTAACGCTAATTTATTCCAATGCAACTGTATAAAAATATTAAATTGTTACTACAAATTGTACTTCTATATCAAAACTCTTATATCATATATATCATCGCTCGGTTAAAATTAGGATTTCCAATATATTTCTCAATTTTTAAATTATAATATTAATATAAAATATAATACTGTTTCTTTATATTTTGCCCTAGTGGCTAATCCCCTAGTGGCTCAATCATAAGTTTACAGACTTACGATGCTGAAAACTGGATCTCAATAATAGCGAAGGGCAAAGCACACATGTGTTATCATGTAGCTTTGCACTTAACAACAACCAACAATGTATTTTTTATTTATGACAAAGCTACTAAAGGTAAATATAGTTACAATCCCACAGGCGACGAAAGTAACAAACTAAATAATACGTTGAACAATCGCAAAGTTTTTTCTTTGTATTCTTTTAAATAAAAAATATAAAACTTGGCGATTGTTCAGCCTATAATTTAATAAAGCTACTAAGGGCATCTGACACCGTCTTTGGTTTTAAACTACTAATTGATTGTGTTGTTAAGCACAAGACTACACAAAAGGCTAGTTGTGCTCTGCCCACCACGGCTATCGAAACCCGGTTTTTTATAAGTCCACAGACATACCGCTGTCCCATCGGGGAGGAGGGGGGTTAAACTACTGATCAGAGGGAAGACAGCCAGCCAGTCAGCAGCACCATACTACCCATCATCCATACTAAGGGATGGACTGTCATTTCTATAACGCATCCACAACTTAAAGTGCAGAGAAGATTCTGTGGATTAAAATCCAGCTTGACAGCTCCGAAGTCCAGAGCTCCAGCTTGACAGCTCCGAAGTCCAGAGCTCTCTCACGGAGCGAATCTATTCCCAAATCTATTTCTTTAAGATCGTTATGTTTAGTAGTTATACAGTTTGTTATTAGGCACAAAGCTACGCAACAAGTTATCTGTAGTCTGTCCCCCATTTTTAGCGTTATAAGTTATCGGACTTAACGCTGAGCCACCGAGGGGGGTCAAATAGTGTATGTAACAAGTTTCAACAAAATAACTCAAACCAGTTTATTATTCGTTTTTATTTGATGTAATTTATAACAATACCCAAACATTTAACAAATACATAATTACTTAGCCCAATATTGGTGCTACAAATCGTGTTACAGTAACCTGTTTTTATAATGACTATCAATTTCTTGGTTTACGTTATTTCAAGAAGCGATTTATTGCCATCTGTTGACGAATCCTGGAACTTGTAGCAATAAAGTTATAGAACTTTATATAATGTTCTTAACTTGTCAACTTTACGATAAATACAATGAGTGTCTGCAAAAATAGATTCTTGAAAAATACATTCAGAAGTTTAAAACTTATCTTTTATCCACAACAAAAAAAAAAAACAGTCAAATGGAACAAAATAAAATGCAGCCAATAATAATAAATAATGTAAATATTAACTTCCCATCAAAGTAAGGTATACACTTTGAGCGAAACTAAAAAAAATCAACATGGTAATGAGTATAGCTAATTAAATACATTTTTTAACGTTCCTATTTACAAAAATTAGAACGCATTGTTCCATCAGTTGGGAACCCTCCTTATTGACGATATTTTCGACCAAAAAACCCAATAATTCATGAAAGTAACAATAAAGAAATAATATAGTTAAGCAATATAAAACTCTTCAACTCCTCAATAAGAATTTTGTTTGTAGTTAATCACAAAATTACACATCGTAGTTCAACCAATCCGTGAAGTATTCTTGGGAAACTGATGGTATTAAATATTTTATTTCCTTATCTAAAATAAATCAGTCTAAAACATTATACCAATAACATTATCTTCATTCAAAAAGATGAAATAAATGCTAAAGTCGTAATTGGAGAAAATATTTCAGTAGTTATTCAGATTTTGTTCTGATACTAATTATGAGAAAAATTTTGCTGTATGCGTGTGAAAAAATCGGCTGTTGTGTTTATAAAGGAGGAAAACAGTATTATAATGCCTTTTTGCATGCACAGCAAGCCATAACGTGTCTGTCTGCTTTAAAGCCAGGTGTTTTTATGGCCTAATAAAATTTCGAAGAGCCTATTGTTGGTAACATTGATTTGATTCTTCAATTTGCAATAAAACTCGAATAATGAGATCTAAACTTAATTTCCACTGTCGTAACACAAACGCGTTCATAGCACGCACAAGCGTTTTTCGCGAACCTTCTAGATACTCATTACGTGTTACCAACGTCACGTTACTTCCGCTGTCATAACACTGCCCCTTAAATTAAACCAATAGATAATTAACAATAACTTAATTAAATGTACAGAATTTACAAACACAAAATTAAAATTCAACAGAGTCTCTTAATTTTATGGGACGTATTTTCTTCCGTATTGGCCTCCGTCTCGTTGGCTTCTGCTTCACGTGGGGTTCATTTGCTCCATCAGGAAATGTCCTGTTATCGGTAACAGTCACATCAGTGGTAGTAACTTCATCAAGGGCTTCAGTGTTTCCTTTCTCAAAACCGGGTAGAGTTTCTTCTTCGACAGTGGCTTTTTCAAGTTACATGTCTTCAGCAGCATCTTTTGCTCCGTTGTTCAATTCGTCCCAACTGAAATGTCCTGGACCGTGATAAAGCCAAAGCCTGTTGGCATGCACCACCTTTGGCTTACCTCGCCGACCAAATTTTATTCGGAAAGTCACGTCTGAGACACGATCCACTATGTCA